GGCTGGGAGGAAGGACTGGGAAAGACAGAGAGCAAAATAACGTTTTAATAAGAGGCATTTTAGGTCACCTGGTTCCCAATATGTTGGGGAACAACTGAAATTATCTTCTCCTTAATAGTGTAAGAAGAGAGTGAAAAAAAATAAAAATAAACAATCAGTTAAAAGGTAAGGAGGTTGCTAACTACTTATTGTACTGGACAAGCAAAAATATCTTAGACTGAGCCTTTGCATTTTGTTTACGTGGTCATCTCCTGTGCTTCTTTCACGAGATTCTGAAATAATAGTGCCAAGTAAAACAGTTCATCGTTGCTTTTTGTTTTATTTTTAAGTACAATGTTGACATATTTGAGACTCAGTAGAAAACATAACCAACTACAACTTCAGTAAACTCTAGATGAGAAGATGAGATCCCTTTATTAAGTGACTATTTGCTTCTGAAACAAAATGCAGTGCACAAATCAAAGCATGTGGATAAAAAACAACTCCCCAAAAACTACAGCCAGACAGTACGACAGGAGTGACAAGTGCAGATGAATACAACACAGCAGGATTGATCACGTAGCTGATTTATAAACATATGCAAACAAAAGGAATTGAAAAGAAAGACCTAGACCAAATGCCAGAGAACTGGAGGAAGGCATCTACACTTCTGGTAAAAACAACAGAACACTTGCAATAGTAATTTATGCTATGATTGCTCTCACAACATAGACATTTACATCACCCTGCACACGCTAAAAATCAGCATTTTGCTGCTGACATCACTGACATAAAACAAAAAAGTATGTTTTTGACCGGGCAATCTAAAAGCAAACATTGCAAGACCAAGTCTAATTTTATTCTGGCGTGTAACTTTTTCATGTTTATTCAACCTTTCACATCATAAAGCTGAACAAAGCTTTATTGAAATTGACCTCTGATAACCAAACTCAATCCTAAATATAAATTTAAGCCATGATGAAACACCAGATTTTCAATCAGTTGCCCATTAACACAAGCAGACCCCTTCAAATGAAACCAAGATTTATACACGAGTTGCTTTTGTAGATACCCCTAGTTTCAATTTGTGAAATGTTTTGCACTATCTCATTACATATTTCAGTCCAACAATTACAACTCTTTCAAGACAGCATATATACTGAACAGATCCTTTGTTTCCTATATAAAAGCTACTGTAGTCATCAACAGCTGCAAAGACAGAAGATGACACAAGCAGGAACAGACTGGTAAACTTTGTCCTATAGTTGTAGTACTGTATGTTTAATCTTAGAAAAGTTTTTGTTCATTGTATCTTAATGCCATTCAGCACTTTCCATTAAAAGGGATCTCTTTCAGCTTGCTGTCTTAGAAGAGAACACTTGGGTATCTATCTCACCATTTACAGGGGGAGAAAATAGGCACAGATGCTGCATTTCAGAGGGCTGTAATGAAATCAGCTGCTTTGCTGCCTCGAAGTCTGGAAACAAGAAGTCTCATCACAGATGTGATACACAAACATAGCTCAAGTATCTTTTTCCTTAAAAAAAAATAAAAAAAAATAAAAAAATCCTGATTCTGAATTTTGGATTTCAAAATGCAATAGTCATTTTAGTAGTAAGACAGGTCACATTTCGTCTGTTGAAGATAAACTTTACAAACATGGAAGCCATTGTTTCTATAATTAGTTGCTTCTAAGTGGCAAATACTTCAGGAATGGTAAATATGCAGTCCAACTGGAAACACCAGCAGCAGGCCATTTAACAAAGCACAAAATTTAAGCCTATCCTGTTTAGATTAAACATCATAATTCTAATTCAACACTTAGAGCAAACAGGCTAGGAAGTTAGCCTTTCCCTTAGCTCCCGTACACAATTCTTTTTCCTTTTGCTAAAAGGAAACCCTACTCAGAAGCATGTAAGTTAATATTAAAATTTTAAAAGTACTGAAATTTTTCTGCATATGCTGAACGTAAACAAGTGGCACAACATGACAAGTTGGCTGGCTTTTTAACATTCAAGACCAGAATATTAAAAAAACAAAAAAAACAAAAAAAACTAAACCGCAGCATTTAGTTACAAAGCTTGTCCAAAAGATAAAAAGCTACGGACAGGATCCTCTCCACTTATCTAGTTTACAGCACTTAACAGGGCATGTAAACTTCTCAAGTATGACTGCTTTGTAGTCTATATACTAAAGGTGTTAGTACAAACCAATCACATATGTCTGCTTCCTCATCATACACTAGTCAATGATAAATAAAATCTGTGATCAGAAGGCTTAGAAGACCTTCACATGTCATATCAATAACATTTTAGATGGACTGAAAAACACATTCTATAATAAAATATAAACCATAAACAAAACTCAAATTCTTCTGCTCTCGCAGGGTTCAAGAGAAAGTAAGATGCAAAACATAGAACCCAGAAAAACTGACCTTTTTCAGTCTGCTGACAGTTGAAAATTCTGCCATGCAAGAAACATGGAAGAAAATTAAATAGGATAAGGAGCACCTAGATCTATAGCAAGCGTTTTATCAAGCCAGCTGTTGAACGGTCAAATAGAGTAGAGGCAAGCAGAACAGGCAGTATTTAAGCAACAGTAATACAGAACACAGGTCATCGATTTCACAACTTCACCTAATTTCTCAACTGCACTAATAGAATCAAATACCTTAATCATAGGGATAGACATGTCTAACACTTGGAAAATCAAAACACATCAGTGCCCTTGAGAGGGGAAGTTGATTCTCTTTAGCTTTCTACCACAATCAGCTTCAACAGAAAGAGTGACAAAGGTCACATGCTGAATCTTCTCTTTTGTAGGGAAAGACAATACTTCACAACCACTGAAAGCCTTAGGCTTCTCAATGGAAGAAGTTTTGGTTAAAAAATAATTATTTTATAGGAGGATACATTACAAACAGCTTTATTACATTTTCCTCTTTGTTACGCGCCAAAAAGATCACTGGGAATACCATAACAAGCAAAGTCACACCAGAATTCAGGTAACAGAAACCTGAGGAGCGACGTGCAAGTGACACCTTTTTCCTCATCTGGGTGCCCAGACGTTCTTGGTGCATGACAAAATTCTGTTCAAATATATCCTCCACTAAAAGCATTTGCATTCCCCCCTCTACCCTTGAAATACCATACTTTAACATAGCACAATATTCTACTTGCTTGTGTTCTAGTTCCACAGTAGTTATTCCTATCTGCAGGGACAATTACCCTATTGTGGCTGACTGAGTAATCTGGGGAAAAGGAAAGAAGAAAATTAAGTACTGTTATCATACATCTACATGCTTGAAGATTCATTTATCAGATGTCATGCAATACATGTGCCCAAAGCAGACCAAATCAAAGAAAACGTGGAACAGCACCCAGAACTGATGCAACCTTACCAAACACTTGCACAGATAAAGGAGATTACATTTGATCTCACTGCACAAAAGGTTCAAACCCAAAGCACTTTGGAATCTCCTAATCAAGATGTTACTGCATAATGAGAAGACAAAAGCAACAAGATAATTTAATAATTTTAGAAACTCATCAGCTATTAATTTGTCTGCCTAGAAGCCTTACTAGCAGATGAGGAACCAACAGGATGAGATATGCTGCAAACAGAATAAGCAAGAAGACTGTTCCTGCTTCAGAGAGCTTAACTGCACCTCCGAGTTGAAATATTACACAGTTAAGATAATCATAGAGACAGATTAAACACATTACGTTATGAGTAACTCAGAGATTATCAGCTTTTCTGAGCTATTTCCAACAAACAAAAAGAGACTGGTTTGGTAGTGGCATGAGCCTCTGGTAATGAAGAGCTCAAGCAACAGGGAATAAATATTTCACAAGGGTGCCACAGTCCTAGTTACAGATGAACTGAAGGAGAAAGATACAAGATTTTAAAGAGTACAACAGGCAAATTCAGTAAGCTAATGTAAATTTTTACAGAGTGAGATCAATTTCTCTAAATTAAATAGACAGTGGGAGCCATAAGGTAGTAAACTGCACTGTTCACTAACTTCTTTAGACATATGTACAAAATAAAAAGCCATACATCTTCACAGAATGCATTGTTACCATCTACAGGAGCTTGTACTATTTTATTGATTGACTCTCCTATGAGAACCCCTGGACATGCCAAGATCTTAAGCTACAAGAAAGGAATATCTGAATTCTGTGTATGAGTTTTGAAAACATTTTGCTCAATCAGAAGCTTAAAAATAAAGTCACGTTGTTATGGAGAGCAACATTCACTTCAGATCCACCTTTTCGAAGTGCCTCCTGCCCGTGAAAGATTTTATTGCACAGATGTAAACACATCACATGATCTCTTAAGTCCCAGCTAAAGCTTCTTCATACCTATAATTTGAAGGGTGCTAAGAATAATGCAGGCTGATTACTTGGAGAACAGCAAGTTACCTATTACAGAAAAAGAAAACACTGGTTTCTAGAATTAGTGACCTAAACCCAAATCTCCCCACTCAGCTGAACGGCCAAGACCTATCAGCAGTGGCTCTAACCCTGAAAACTTCACCCAAACCCTTATGTTTACATTACTCCAACAGGCGACAAGCCTCACGCGTCGCCAAGTTCTCAAGAAACCCACACAGGACTCTTGCAGTGAGCACAGAGCTTTCAGTCACACCTCACTGACCGTGACCACCCCACGAACACGAAGCAAAGCCTGTCAGCAGAAACGGGGCGGGGGGTGGCAGAATCCTGGAGCAGAGCCCCTGGGCCCTGCGGGAACACAGGGACAGCCTCACAGCCCCCCGAGCCTCTCTCAGGAGCCGGGCTCCCGCTCGGAGCCTCCAACAGCCCCGGCTGAAACCGCTCCCGCGGCCGAGCAGGGACCGGAGGCAGCCGCCCCAAAACCTCCCGGTACTCCCAAACCCCGCAGGCCGCGTCAGGCCCCGCACGCGTCCCCCCCCCCCCTGCCCCGCCGGGCCGCGCCCTGCCCCTCCGCGGGGTGCCGTGAGGGGACAGAAGGGCCGCGGGGCGGCCGCCCGCCCTCACCGCGGTGGCCGCCGGCGCCCGTCGGCCCGCACCTTGTCGGCTTTGTCCATGGCTCCGGCGGGGCTGGGCGGCGGCTCTACCGAGGGCGGCGGAGGCTCGGAGCCGCCTCCTCCATGGTGCTCGCTTCTCCCCCCCTCCCCGCCGCCTCAGCGGGCTCCACCGCGCTCCCGCACACGCCCAGGGCGGCGCTGGCCCCGCTCGCGGCTCTCACGGGAACCGCGCCCGGCTGCGCCACGGCCGAGGGCGGGCACCGGAGCGGAGGGGAGGGGAAGGGAAGGGAAGGGAAAGGGGGAGGCGGCGGGGCGGCGGGGAGGGCTCAGCTGGGACGGAAGCCGGGCGGGCCCAAGCGGCGCCGAAAGCCTTGTTTCTCCTCAGGGCTGAGGGGGGGGAGGAGGGAGGCGTCCTTGAAATTAAAATATATAAAAAAGTAATACTGTCAGTTATTTAGTCGGAAAGCTGAAAATGTACAGGAGGGGCCGGGCCCACGCCCCGTTCTCTGCCCGTCCCCGGGTCCCCACAGGGTCGGGCCCGTCCTTGGGTGCTCCGAGGGGCTGCAAGGCTTCTCCAGGGCTTCACTGACACTTCTGGAGTACGGCATTAAAAACAGACTAAATGCCTATGTAAAACAGAATCGATTGCAAAGGATGTGCTGGAGCAGAGCTGAGTACTTCCAGGTGAAATCCAGAAATCCATTTATAAAATGTATTAATGCAAGAGGCGGGTTTCTGATTGATTTTTTTTTTTTTTAATTTTTGGTGAGAAATAAGGGCATAGCTAATGGGAAAGGTAAGCAAGCCTGTATTTTGACACAGTTAAAATTAAAATTACCAACACTGTTTCTACAGAGCAATCTTGATAGAGCTTCCTAGATTTAACCTTCACTTTCCAATTCACTCTTTCCCACGTTATGTTCAGCATGCCACGTAACAAGCTGTTGGACTTCACAAAAATTTTGTTGGATTAATCCATGTTATCCCTTTGTATTTTCTTAGCATAGCTTTCCACCATTAGAACTTCATAAGTAACATACGGTATTTTGAAGATGGCTATTGCACTGCACAGTAAGATCTCATCTTGCAAACAGATGATATGAATACAGAACTTGTGCAGACAGACTGTCACTTGTGTGCTATTTTACATAAGCACACACAAAAAAAGTGTAACTTTTGCCTAGATGCCTGCAACATTACTTACGTTCTGTGAATTAAGTTTTCATGAGGTTGCAGCCAACAAAATCATAGGTCCCATGGATCATATGTGAAAGGGAGAATGGTGAAATTGTAATCCCAATGAAATCTAACTGTAGGATTTCTGTTGACTTCAGTGAGGCCACTGTTTTACCACAAATGAAGAGAACAGGAGGGCTGTTCCTGGCCCCTAATTGCTATAGAAACCTCTCTTAGCTGGAAAAGCTGCAGCACTCGCCCACTTTGCTTGTACTTCCATATCCCAATACTTTCCTTGACAAGATTAATAGAAGTCTTCATGGTCAGTGTTGACATATACCATCCTGTCTTTCAACAGTATACAGCAGTAGCGTGGTAAAGGTCTTCAGCAGAACTAACGCACGTGTTCATAACCTTAGGAAGCTGTTTAAAAGTAGCAATACTGATCTAAATTTGAGGTTATGATGTTATGCTCCCAGCAGCTTTTACACAATGACATTTCTGATTTTGACACAAGAAGTCAGGAAAGTAAAACCAGGGATTAAGCCGGTTGTATCAAGAACTTTCAGCTGATGCAACTGAACACCATTTCATCAGTCAGTGCTGAACTTAAAAATGAGATGTAAATCTATAGATAAATAATGATGAAACACTGAATAAGCCACTTGAACCTTAGTCTTCATACATTGAACAATGCATCTCTACTGAGTGAAGTGTATTTTATTCCCAATTGTTGAATATGTTTCACTTAAGTGAATACAATTTTGCTCAATTATTTAAAATCTAGTCACTTTTCATCTCCCAAGTAATGTGGGAGAACTTGCCTGACAGGACAGAAAACAGTGAAAATATCCCACTGAAACCACTACAACAATTGTCTTCTTGTATTAGCACACCAGCATTTTAGCATGGAATGCAGCTTCATTTGTCTAATATGGTGCTGACCACGGAATATATATTATGACATTTGCTTAAGATACTTGCTGTATTTTCTTTTTTTTTAAATAATGACTCATTATGGCAAGGCTGTTCATTGTGAAATCCTTCTTTTGTTCCCAAGATACATACCAACAGAAAGGTCACACTTGAAAGCTCTGTTATGCATACTTAAACAACAATAACAAGAAGTTCTAAGATCTAAATTGGGCAGTGGTTAAATAGGCGTCAGATCTACACAACTTATACAATATACATAGTACAGAAAGTTTTGTTGGGTGACCTAAGCAGCCACTTGGGTGAAAAGAATTAAAATCTCCCATAAAATTTAACCCTGTATTATCACAAATAAAAATAAAAATAAAAATATGCCAAAGCACTTAGAACCAGTTATGTTAGATCTTCTATCCACAGCTATTTACAACTAAGCCAGCCTATCTGGTTACATCATCATCTTCTTGATCAAGTGTTGTGTAAGTGAACTCAACAGTGTTACTGGCCTTAAAGAAGCCATGAGGGGGAAAAAAAAAAAGGCAAACAAAACAAGCAAAAAAACCTGTCCAGTTCAAGCACACTAGTAATTGCAGTAGCTGCTTTAGAATACTCAGTCCTAAAGGTCCAGTTCTCAAATCAGTCAATATGTAAACAACTATTGCTACTTCTCTATCACAACATAGAGTAAAGGGAAGCAAAAATGATGCTTGAAATTAGTGGGTGCTAATTGCAATTTTGCTAATAAGTTGTTGGGTTTATTGCTGCAGCTGCTGGATAGTGGAGTTATCCTTCCTGAATACAACGAAGAACACCAATCAAATGAAAATCTAAGCTGACATAAAAATAAAATGAAACAAGGAGCCTAAACCTAGCTATCTCAGCAGAGTGGAAAGGCACTTCGTAATGGCTGCGTTCAGAAGATCACAAGCAAGTCTAACAGCACACATGTAGCTACTCATGCTCCCCACTTACAAAGGCTCTACTTACAACCACTGGGTAGAAAACCTCACAGAACCTGTAGGGAGGCAATTAAGCACATCTCACTGAAATCAAGGTAGTTTCTTCTACTGAAAGCTGAACATACACATACAAGCTTAATTGCACTGGCAAAGGAATATGAAGCAAGGGTTGCTTGCTCAACTACACCCGCTCTATCCCCAGGTCTCAGCAGGCTCAGGCTGAGCTCTGTGGCAGCACGGCCTGAACATGGACCACAGTGGAGGCTGCACAGTGAGAAAGGGAAAGACGCAGCAGGAATGAAGCTGGCTCCAAAATGACACGGCTTTACTGGACTGGAACTAAAATCTTCAGTATAATCATAGAAAAAGAGAGGTAGAGAGCAAAGAAGAACTTGGCAAATAAACATTTGTATGTGATGGGAGATACAACGTGTCACGTCCTGCACAGGCAGCTAAAGGCAAACACAACAGGGAACACACTGCAACCGAGGTGGGAGCTCGTCTACAAATCTGAGACCCACGAATCTGATAGCAAGAAGCGATTACCACCTGGCAGCAGTCAGAGCAAGCACAGCACTCCCACTGAGCCCAGCTGCAAACTGGTGTTAGAGCCGAGGACAGATCCTGCCTTGCATCTCCTCATAGCATGGCCATGAAGGGATTAGCTGTTACTCTTGCTGTAAGGCTTACAGTTATTACATCTCAAACGTAGTGCTATGTATGCACCTATTTAATGCAGATATAGTTTGCAATCTACCTTTGCACTGATTTAGAAGCATTAGAAGGTGATAAAGCTTTTTTGTCAACATCTTGATCAAGATTTAACTGACTATGAAGCTGTAATGTAGTTTATCTAGTTCTCTGATTTAGGCATTTTCTACATCTACAATGGTATGTCCAGCAATTTGAAAATAATAAAGTAACAGCTAAATTTTTATGATTAAAATCAGTATGGATGAATATATATATAGAGAGGGAAATTTATGTCAAATAACTGCTCTGTTTTTACGAAAGCCTGGGGTACTGTCCAGAGTGGTATCATTTTACTATTAATACAAACATACATGCTTCCTGCTCAACCAAATTAATCTCCCCCCCACCCCAAAATTAAATGTGAAAATACAGTCTTCAAATACAGACATGTTTTACAGCTGACAATTTCTGAGTAGCTACAAGAATGACAGTGTTTGTTATCAGACTGCAATTCAAATACCTCTATTATATTATTCTGCCAGGTGCATTTCAACTTTTTTTTTTTTTTTTAATTGTTCTATAAACTTCTAAGCCTAGTTAAAATTAAAAGAAATTAAACTACTCTCTACATCAGGGTTTCAGATCAAACCCATGATAAAATCTTAAGATGAGAAATGAACTCCTCCAAAGTACGTTTGCTAATTAATAAAAATTTGCTAATTAATAAAAAATCAAACATGCATCAGACATATCCTCCCAGATTTCATTCGTGTGACATTCAGTTTTAATGCATAAGCTGCCAACAGCTCAGATGAGGGGTTTATATACAGAGTTTACATCACGCTATTGTAACCCTACGTAAAATAATCAAATTTTCTTTTGCAAATTAAGTTATTTGTACTAACCAAGGTGCCAGTTGGTCTTGTGTCCACATCAGCAAAACTAAAGGTATATAAAAACAACCAAAAATTGTGAAAAGCATGGCTCAGTGATTGGAACTGAGAATGGAGAATGTAGTGAGGTCACTTAGTGCTTCCTGAACCTGCAGGGCAACATTTTTTGGAAAAAAATAATTGCCATTCACCATCCTTCCTTTCAATTGCTTGTTTGGTTTTCCTGAGGAGGCAGAAACTGCATCTGAGACAAATCTACCACGTGGACTAATGTCAACTACTAGCACATTCTGTTGCAGCTGTTTAACAGTGCATCTCCCTCATATTTCCCCAAAGATGATTCTAATTTTTGAGTTTAAGAAATATGAAAAATTGAAAAAAGGTTAGAATCCCCTAGGGATTCTATAAACCTTTATTATGTGCTTAGAGCACTGATGCTAAGAGCTGAAGTACAAGTAAGAACTAAAGTATGCCAAAAATGCACAACAATTTATAAGAGGTAGACTGATACTTTCTCAGTTTAAAAACACACAGTTATCTCTCACTTTTCAAGGTAATAGTCCTTTACCAGTTGGCCTAGGCCTACTATTAGTCTTTGTGAGCAAAAACTTAAAAAGGAGACTAACTGCATATGACATATTTCCTCCAGT